TCAGAACATGTTGAAAATTGATGATGTCGCTTTGAATGCTGCATACTAAACACAAAAGAAGTCCGGAGTTCAAATAAGTTTAAAAACATTGAAGTGGCCGTGTAACAGATGAGTTCTCGTCCGAAACCCTGATACTCTGAAAGAGTTTGTCCAGTTTGTACATGAAGTGCGTCCAGTTTTTGCCGTGACCCTCTCTACTCTTTCGCGCATGCTATGCGGGTGATATGATGATACCATGCCAAGTTTCAACATTTTTAGGATTCATTTTGTAGTGATTTTCAATTTCACGGTCATTTAGCTCTCTAAACAATTAGGTAAATGACCGAAAAACAACAAATGATGTCAGAACATGTTGGAAATTGATGACGTCGTTTTGAATGCTGCATACTGAATACAAAAGAAGTCTGAAGTTCAAATAAGTTATTAAAAATAAAAAAGAGGTGCAATGCTGGTTAATTTGCTTCAAGCCATTCGGAATAGTGTAGACTGCACTGCACATAGCTCAGTGCAATCTATGCTATTCCGCAAGGTTTGAAGCTAATCAACATGTAGGTGCGCATTGCAACTCTTCATCATTGTCTGTGCACTCACGGCTTATAAATCGCTCATACTGCCTCTCTCTTGGCGAGGTGGGACTAAAAATCAGCTTACAAAGAAACTCTAGTACCGGTTCATGGCATGAACCGGTACTAAAGGTCTTCGTGGGGGCCCCAGACTGACCATAGCCTGACACAGCCTCATTAGTACCGGTTCGTGGCATGAACCGGTACTAAAGGTTACCCACGAACCGGTACTAATGATGCTCGCCCGCCTAGCCGTTGGAACCGGCACTAATGGTCACATTAGTGCCAGCTCAAATTCAAACCGGCACTAATGTGCTTCACATTTGACCCTTTTTCTACTAGTATCTATCCAGGAAGGACTGCTACGTTACAATGATAAAATCTGGATTGGCAATGATGTGGAGACCCAGAATTCCTTGATCAAGGCATTGCATGACAGTGCCACTGGAGGTCACTCGGACTTCTATGGTACTTACAACAGGGGTGCGCCGTTTGTTTGCCTGGAAGAATTTGAAACAAATGGTGCAACAATTTGTGAGACAATGTAGTGTTTGCCAGCGAGCAAAAACAGAGCGAGTCTCACCGGCTGGGTTGCTGCAACCTCTTCCAATCCCTAAACGCTCGTGGGCAGTGGTCTCCTTAGATTTTATTGAAGGACTGCCAAAGTCAAAAGGATATGATGTGGTGTTGGTGGTCGTGGACAAGTTCTCCAAGTACGCACAGTTTGTGCCCATGAAGCATCCGTACACAGCCTTGACGGTGGCACAGTCATACATGCAGAACATCTTTCGTCTGCACGGGCTCCCACTGGCCTTGATCTCTGATAGAGACCGAATCTTCACCGGTTCTCTGTGGCAGCAACTTTTTCGCCTCTCGCAGACCCAATTGAGAATGAGTTCATCCTATCACCCCCAGACCGACGGGCAGACCGAGCGTGTGAACCAATGCTTGAAAACATATCTCCAGTGCTCTGTGCACGCATGGCCCCGCAACTGGTTCGATTGGCTCTTCCTGGCAGAATACTGGTACAACACAACCTTTCATTCTGCTCTCGGACGGACACCATATGAGGTAATCTACGGAACCCTTCCACGGGAGTTTGGTGTGGAGCAAGTGGATCAGTGTACGGTGCCACATTTGGCGGCTTGGCTACGTGAGCGGGAAGTGATGCTGGAGCTCCTTCAACAACAACTCAAAGGGGCACATGACAGAATGAAAAAACAAGCTGACAAAAAGCATACGGATCGTACATTTGTAGTGGGGGAATGGGTTTACCTCAAGTTACAGCTGTTCATTCAAAGCTCTATGGCGAGACGCCCCTTCCAGAAACTGGCTTTCCGTTATTATGGGCCGTATCAAATTGAAGAGAAGGTTGGTGCTGTGGCGTATCGCCTTAAGCTTCCGGCCATGAGTCAGATCCACCCGGTGGTGCATGTTTCTCAGCTGAAGGGTGCGGTGGGAGTTGATATCACAGTGGAAGTTGAGTTGCCACCTGACATGGCGGTCCTATAAGCGGAGCACGTGCCACTGAATGTGCTGGCTAGCAAGGAAGTGTCAACGCGCACAAGTAAACGCTCGCGAGTTCTCATTTATTGGTCTGACTTGCCAGGATCCTTGGCTACGTGAGAAGATCAGGACGACCTCTGGCGCCGTTTTCCTTCATCATCGGCTTGGGGGCAAGCCGCAGCCCAAGGAGGGGAGAATGTCATGACCCAAGGGTGTGCCGCGAAGGACGCGGGGAACCAGGAGGCTGCCAGTGGGACCGATCGTCAGGGACCTAATGACGAGAAGTAGCGAAGGACCCAAGCTAGCAAGACCCAGTCCACCAAGGAACAGCTGGCAATCGAGTGTAGGCCTAGACGGGTGATATATGTGCGTGTGTGGTGTGGTGGGAGGATTACGGATGATTACTGTACAACTTGGAGAGGAAGTTGTTCTTCCCTCGGCCTCCTTTATCCCCTTCCTCCCACCTACTTTTAGATCTGCTGCCCTGCCATCTCCTCCTTCCCTTCCCCTCCTCTGATCCAATCCTAGGGGTACGTTACATCAGCTCCCTCCTCAGCAATGAGTTCCTGAAGCTCCTGGATGAGGGCGTCAAGCTGGCCGCCGGGTTCAGCCTCGCCGACCTGTTCCCATCGTCGCGCCTCGCACGTGTATTTAGTGGCTCGACGCGAGATAGGCCAGGTCATAGACCGCATCATCGAGGACCATCGCACGAGGTGGTCGGCCGGTGCCAGCGATGAAGACCTCGTGGACGTGCTGCTGAGGGTCCAGAATGACGGCAGCCTCCACGTGCCTCTTGACGTTGGAAACATCCGTGCCGTGATTACCGTAAGATTGGCCTCCATGCTATAGAATTGCATACATGCAGTTATACTTCAGCACTCTCATCTGTGTGCCTCGCATGCATCTCTTTTAATTATACAGATTGTGCCAGAGTAGTTTTGAACTCAATACCTTTGGTTTTGATAACCTATAGAATTTGCATGCATCGGTATGTTATCCAAAAGCTTAAGCTGATGCGCAAGAGGTGCAATGCCTGTGAATTGGGGCTTGGGGCCAGCCCCAAAAAGCAGTTTAGGGGCTACATGGAGATGTTCTTGTTCTTCGACACATGCATCTTTCCACCAAAAACTCTCAAGTTAAGTTCTCTTCTTGTAGGATATGTTTTCGGGGGGAAGCGAGACCTCGGTGACAACACTCCAGTGGGCGATGGCGGAGCTCATGCGAAGCCCGGCGGTGAGAGTTGCATCGGTGAGGAGGCCCTGCAGGAGCTGCGATATTTGCATCTAGTAATCAAGGAGTCGCTCCGGCTACACCCGGTGTTGCCGCTGCTCCTCCCACGGGAGTGCCAGAAACCTTGCCGTGTCCTTGGCTATGAGGTGCCGAAGGGAGCCATGGTGCTTGTCAACGTGTGGGCGATCGGGTGGGATTCTGCGAGCTGGGGCACCGATGCCGAGGAGTTCAGGCCGTAGAGGTTCGAGGAGGCCGGTGACGCGTCGGTGGACTTCAGGGGAACGAACTTCGAGCTCGTGCCATTCGGCGCCGGCTGGACAATGTGCCCTGTGGTCACGTTTGGGCTTGCGGTTGTGGAGCTCATGCTAGCGAGCCTGTTGTTCCATTTCGATTGGGGGCTCCCTGGAGGAGGTGCCGGTGGGCTGGACATGGTGGAGGAGCTCGGGATCACGGCGAGGAGGAAGGGCGACCTGCTGCTGCATGCCACCGTTTCGTGTGCCTGCTCCTAATCCATGAATATTCAAACATGGCAATGTCGTATAGCCTTTGTTGTCTTTGTAGCTAAATAAAACGAGTCAGAGAAAAAAGTACTTAATGTTTCATTATGCAATCCAGGGTCTAAGTTGTTTGTTTAGTGTGTGTGTGTGTGTTTCACTGTTGTATTATCAGAGCACCATTGTCAGTATTGTCTATCACAGGAACTCGATGCACTCCGGTGCTTTGTCATGTTATCTATTACTAGCAAAAGAGGTGTATTGTAACGGGAAAGAAAAGTCCTTAAAAAACTGAAAAACAATTTCTGTTGGACACAATAAGGACTTTTAAATTTTGATTTTTATTCCGATAGAGTCCTCCACGTGCATTGGTGACAGGAAACAACTGATCGAGCAAAGCAGGCATTTCCGAGGCGGCGCCTAGGATTGGAGCGTGTTGGTGACAGGTGCTGACTGCTCGACATGATTATTAGTGAAGACGTGAGGCCACGCTGCGCCCCGCACACATCTCATACACGTCCTTCATGGGTCGACGGCCCAATACTAAATGGTCAGACGTTGCCATACGAATCAAACATTATTGGATTGAATAGTTTTTCCTGAAAAAAAATATTGGATTGAATAGTTCTCTTCTTTATAGCAACTTTGCCCAGCCTATTCCTTAAGGGGCTTGTTGATTGTCTACCCACAGACATATATAAATTGGTGAGATTCGGTGTAGGTGGGACTATTGATTAACATGTCAAGTGTAAAACAACCAGGTGGGACATATATAAATTGTTGAGATCCCAGCAAAAATCGCTGTCCACATGTCAGTTGCTTGTGCGTCCTACTTTGCCGAGTACGTCCGAGTCAGGTCTTGGCGAAGACGACGTCTCGACACTCATTGGGCACCACGTGACGCGCTTCGGGCCCTCCGAGTTCGCCGGGTCCCTCTGGATGACTCTTGGCAAAGTGGCCTGCCACGTGGCTGCATCCATCTTTTGCCGAGTATACCACTTGGGGATTGACAAAAGGTTTGCCGAGCCCCCAATGAACAACTCTCGGCGAAGTGGTTTTTGCCTAAAAGGTTCGGGCCGAATACTCTTAGCCGAGAACTACACTCGGCAAACTCTCTGCCGAGTGGGAAACGACTTTCGCCGAGTTTTCCTGACACTCGGGAAACTCGAAAATTCTAGTAGTGTATGTGTGCAAATATGTAGTTGAAATGTACTATGTAAACTAAAATTAGAAAGTAGGCAACTTTTTTACTCCAAGGGATCGGTTAGAAACGGCACTTCTTTTTTTCAAAAAAGAAAGATACTTCTTTAGAGGAGTAAATGTACTCCTCTAAAGATACTCGGCCATTTACCCCTCTAAATTATAGGGGGTCGTTTAGAGATGCTCTAGGATGGTTTTGGACCAAAGTGTATTCAAATTACCAAAGACTACAAGTTTCGCGACCAGTTCGTTGCTCCCACTGTGCAAGTTCATATCTCTATAATTATATATCCTCCCAAATTCATCAACTAATTTCTTGTAGCTCTTTATGACAATCAATGTACGTTTCGTGTAGTGCCATTATTATGGGTAGGCTTGCTCAACTACTCCAATAATGGAGGTGCGGAATGCTGTTAATGAAAACTTAGGTGAAATGATACAAGCCGCACCTTTCACGTACTCCCTTTATAAAGAAATATAAAAGCATTTAGAAGGTGAAAAGGTACAAACCGCACCCTTCACGTATTCCCTCTAAAGAAATATAAAAGTGTTTAGACGATCTAAACGCTTTTATATTTCTTCACGGGGAGTACTAATTAAACCGAAGTATCTCAGTTTTAACACGTGGTATGCCAATTAAGTACTATGAAGTTGTCAATGTGCTCAGTTAAGATCTTAGAGTTGTCTGTGATCTTGTCGGTTCTCAATTGTTTGGTGGGTTATGTCCGTAACTATATATCACTGCTCATATATGAATTTTGATTTTGCTAACCACATGTTCCATGCGGTGTTGCACATGTTTCATGTAGAACCATTATTACGGCTAGGCCCTACTCAACTACTCCAATGGTGGTGCGGTCTTATTGACGTATATAATGTTCAACCGAACTACTCTCTCAACTATTCCAATGGTGGTGCGGTCTTTATTGACGTAGTAATTCGTAACTAGGAGTACTGAGCATCTATTCTTTTCTGTGCCCGCGCAGAGAAGAGAAGACGCACTCCCCGGCCATGGGACAACAAGATCAAGATGTCGTGGGCTACTACAATTACCTCTTCATGGCCACCCTCCTGCTACTCCCTTTCTTCCTCATCGCCATCTTCAAACCGCCGCGCAAGCACGAACGCGAGAACCTTCCCCCGGGGCCATGGCGGCTGCCGGTCATCGGCAGCATTCATCACCTCATCGGCGCACTACCACACCACGCCATGCGTGACCTCGCCCGTCGGTACGACGCCCCGCTCATGCTGCTCCGCCTCGGGGAGCTCAACGTCATCGTGGCCTCGTCCGCCGTCGCGTCGAGGGAGATCATGAAGACCCACGACGCGACATTCGCAACACGGCCACGGACCACCACCCTCCGCGCCATCACGACAGACGACCTCGCCATCTCCCTTGCACCGCACGGCGAGCAGTGGCGCCGCCTCAAAAAGCTATGCGTCACCGAGGTACTCAGCGCGCGGCAAGTCCGGTCCCTCCGGGGATGCCGCGAGGCCAACGCCGCCGCCCTAGTCTCCTCCATCGTCTCGTCGCTGTCCTCTTCGTCGGAGCCGGTGAACATCAGCTCCCTCATCACCACCCACGTCACCAACTTGGCCGTGCACGCATTGGTGGGCAAGCAGAACGAGGACCTCCGTGCAGAGTTCCTGAAGTGCCTGGACGAGGGCATCAAGCTGGCCTCGGGGTTCAGCCTCGCCGACCTGTTCCCATCGTCGCGCCTTGCACGTGCCTTCAGTAGCTCAATTCGCCGGATGGAGGCGTTAAACCACGAGATAAGCCAGCTCATCGGCCGGATCATTGAGGAGCATCGCACGAGGAGGTCGGCCGGCGGCGGCGAGGAGGAAGACATCGTGGACGTGCTACTGAGGATCCAGAGTGACGGTAGCCCCCACATGCCTCTCAACGCCAGGACAATTGGTTCCGTGATTATGGTAAGATGGAACTAAAGACTTCTTCGCTTTGGCTCTAGACTCTAGTATACCATGTACTCCCTCCTTCCACGAATAAGTGTACTTCTAGCTTTTGTCTTAAGTCAAAGTTTTGAAATTTTGACCAACTATATACAAAAGAGTAATAACATATATGACATCAAATTGATATCTTATGGAAGCACATTTCAAAATAGATTTAGTGATATTAATTTAGTGTCATAAATGCTAGTACTTTTTTGTATAAAGTTGATCAAAGTTTTAAAACTTTGACCTAGGACAAAAACTAGAAGTACACTTATTCACGAACGGAGGGAGTACTTCACATGCGCCAAAAGTTCACCTAAAGCCTAAGATCTCCAGTCCCCCCTCCTCTTCTTTTGGTGAACTTAAGAGCTCAAGCTGAAGGGGAAAGGAGTGCAATGCATTTATACTCAATAGTCCTAAATAGTTGGCTATGCAGCTCAGCCAGAAGCTATGAAAAGTTATAGCGAAGCTATAAGTAATGAAGCTAAGCCGCATTTAGCTTTTTTACTTAAATCAAGAAAAATAAACATAAAATTAGGCAACATATTGATACTAATCAAGCATTTTAATTGACATAGACATGTTCAAGCATAGAAAAACATGGTACTAATCAAGCATTTTAATTCAATAACCATGGTTTGCATCAGTGCATCATATTGATAAAACAATAAGGAATAGTATGACATAAATTTGGACCGCGCTGCGACATGATTTTGAAAAGCTTAGAAAATATTGGCCCAACCAAAGCTCGGCAGCGCTAAATATACTCAAAATTTAATGCTATAGCGGGAAATAGCGAGTTATCAGCGTCATATTTAATTCAGCCCTAAAAGTGCATAGCTTAACCGGAGAGTTCTCCAAATGTCATAGCATAGCGGGCTATTTAAAGCATTGCTGATACTTGAATTCATGCATCTCAATCCAAAAGAAATTAGTTCAGCCAAAACATCTCAACACTAAAGTTCTACTTTTTGTAGGATATGTTTTCGGGAGGGAGCGAGACCTCGGTGACAACACTCCAATGGGTGATGGCAGAGCTCATGCGGAGTCCAGCGGCTCTTCGGAGGGTGCAGGCAGAGGTGCGCAATGCTTTCGCCGGGCAGAGCTGCATCAAGGAGGAGGCCCTGCAGGAGCTGCGATATTTGCATCTAGTAATCAAGGAGTCGCTCCGGCTACACCCGGTGTTGCCGCTGCTCCTCCCACGGGAGTGTCAGGAACCTTGCCATGTCCTTGGCTATGACGTGCCCAAGGGCACCATAGTGCTCGTCAACGCATGGGCAATCGGGCGGGATTCAGCAAGCTGGGGTGCCGATGCCGAGGAGTTCAGGCCAGAGAGGTTCGAGGAGGCTGGTGATGCGGCGGCGGACTTCAGGGGAACGAACTTCGAGCTCGTGCCATTCGGCGCCGGTAGGAGGATGTGCCCTGGGATCACGTTCGGGATCGCGGTCGTCCAGCTCATGCTCGCGAGCCTGTTATTCCATTTTGATTGGAAGCTCCCTGGAGGAGGCGCCGATGGGCTAGACATGGCGGAGGAGCTCCAGATGACAGCCAGGAGGAAGAGCGACCTGTGGCTGCATGCCACCGTTCATGTGCCTTCTCCTAATCCATGAATATTCAAACATGGCAATGTCTTATAGCCCTTTTTGTCTTCAGAGCTAAATAAAATGAGTAAGAGAAATAAGTACTTGATGTTTCATTATGTAATCCGGGGTCTAAGTTGTTTGTTTATTATGTGCGTGCGTGTGTGTGTGCGTGTGCGTGTGTGCGTGTGCGTGTGTGTGTGTGCGCGCAAAGGCGGAGGACGATTTTTTTTAAGGTGTGGCGAAGTCTTAAGGAAAGAATTTTTTTGATGCAAATCAAAAGAGTCAATACACATTACAAACGGAAACCCCAATACAATGAAAATGTAGGCATATTTCAATAGGAAAATAACCTAAAACAAATCAATAATGAAGATTTCAATGGCGTCTAGAACTGCGACGGTTGGGCATCTTATTAGCTTTTATGCATAATCATATAAAAACAAAAACTTGTGCGTCCACAGTACACTAGCATGAATGAAAACATATAGACAAACTTTCCACCATATTGTACAAGGTCGCTACATAAATTTTTATCCGTTATATTCAGAATTACTGTAGTTGGTTCAGATCCTGCAGAATTGACAGAAGAAAAATTGCCAATACCCAACAAAGTGGCTGCAATTAGTCCTCTGGTTCGTACACCGGGGAATGACCAGGAAAATTCCCAACTGCCGTCGCCTGCTGGAACTTGCTTCTACCGCCACTGAAGCCGCCGCTTGCTTCCTTCGCTGGAGCTTGCTGCCGCAGCCCTCTAAGCCCCCAGCCTGCCGCCGCCGTCAGCTGCCCCCGTCATCAGTCGCCCGCCTGGTCCTCGCGACATGGCCAGCAGCCGCCATCACGCTAGCTGCTTAGGGTTGCGTCGCGTCTGGGTAGAGTTGGTCGCGTGCGTGCGTGTGCGTTGTGTGTGTGGCCGCTCGATCGAATCAAACCTTTTTTAGACACTCTCAATCGAATCGAACCTGTCGTGCCTGCCTGCGTGGCCCAACAGCTGGATGCGTCGGCCATCAGGCCAGCGCTGCTAGCTGCGGTCGAACGAAACAGCCGATGCCGATCCAGAGTCTGCCGATCGATAGATGCATAGGTATAAAAAAAATTGCCCCAGAATCAAGGTATGGCGGATGCCATACCCTGCCCACCGGAACCCTCCGCCAGTGTGTGTGTGTGTGTGTGTGTGTGTGCGTGTGCGTGTGTGCGTGTGTGTGTGCGTGTGCGTGTGCGTGTGCGTGTGTTGCTCTATTGTCAAATATTATGTATCGCACGAACTCGATGCATTCTGGTGCTTTTCATGTTATCCATCATTTGAGTAGTGCTCAATTTATGTGGTCAAAATTTTATTTTCCAATAACATTGTGATTTGTCTTGTTACACAATGAGAAAAAAGTGTTAATTAACTTAAATTCTAGTCCTCGCCAAAATATATATATCAATTGAGCTTTGAAAAACTCGAATGTTCAATATTGTGAAAACATGTTATTTTACCGAAGAGAACTTTGGATCTATTCATCATCTGCCATAGCGCATGGCGGTACAAAGAACACCAGAAGTAACAACAGTTACAACCATGTTCATATATAGATTCCCTAAATGACTATGAGCACTAGAGTGAGCCGAAGACGCGCCACCATCATTGGCCCTCCATTAGATCTATCCCCTAGCAACTTGTTCTAGTATATAGTCAAAGAGTCATCCTGCTAAGGCCCAAAATGACCGGTGTACAAGAACAACAACCGTCACTGATGACGAGAAGTGTAGATTGGAAGGATCCAGCCTGTAGACGCACGAAGATTGGATCCAAACAGATCCACCAAAGGCCAGCACCGACCGAATCCGTCAAGATCCCCTGGAGACACACCCCCACACCCCCTTCGGCGTTGCTAGATGCATTGCCGAGACGTGCGCTAGATAGTGAGAACCTTATTTCATTTTTAGGAGCCGCGGTCTCAACTTTTTGAGTAAGACATAAACCTAAACAAGCTGATTTTTTTATAAATAAAGCAGGATCCCCCGACAAGGACCCGCGGTCAGATTTAAATTAATCAAATTCAAACTTTTTTAAAAGTTAAAAAAAATACCTACAGGCGCCTCACGGCGGTTGGCATGGATATGACGGTGTGAACCGGCCGTTAGCAATGCAGATGGCCTGGTTTTTGCTGACGGCTGTCGCCGGCATAGGTACAATGCTGCTGATGGCCAAGCTTTCGCCGACGGCTTTTCGTCAGCTGTCGACATATCTGCTGGTATGCCGTCAGCCCCGACATAAAACTGTCGGCATATTAGATTATTCCCGCAGTGACTTCACTGAGCAGGCTTTTGGGCCTGGTGGATGTGACTGCCTTAATTTACACATCACTCGATAGTCTTATTTGTTACTCCCCATGTGATGATCTAAGTTATCTGTCAAGCATTCAATGGGAGTATTGCACATGGGAGCAGTTATGGGCACCCAAAAGATGGTGTATGCCTTGCTCGTCAGTCGTGACCATCAGCATGTGCGGATGTGCCCTGTAGTTGCATTTGAGCTGTGCACATGTGGGCTCAGCTCGACAGCAACACTGACCATGTCAGAGCACATTACAATGGTGTAAAAGTCATTTGCTTGACCATTCAATGAGCTTTGTGTGGGTCTACTTGTCTCCATATTGGTAGGGGCCGTCTAGCCCGTTGCCACATCTAGGCCGTACACGTATGGTTCGGTGTGTGGCGTTGGGGGCGATGGCCATGAGCATCGATCAGAAGCAGCAGAGTCGTCTATGTTCTATATATCCAAAGTTCCATACAAGGGCCTAAGTCTCGTAACTGTCCAGTGTTTTTGCATGGGCTACCATTGTGAATAATGGTCACCTACAAAGTCAGAACATGCACTAAGAGGACAGAAAAGAAAGAGAAATGCCCATATGGCATGTGTAGGGAACAGGACCGCCATACTGTTTGCCTTGTGAATGCTTTGGTCGCTCTGTTTGCAATTTGATGGGTAAGAAGAAAAGCTATACATGAGCTGGAGTTTCAATCACCACGGTAGACCTTAACTTTTAGAGCTGTTTTACGGTGATTGGGTTAGTACTCGGAGTACTTAGCAGTACTTACATGTCTGATCACGTCTGATTTTTATTAGCCGTCAGATCTTACGGGAAATTTTAATTGATTAAATTTAATATGTTAATTGTGATAAGGGCATAATGGTCCAGAGGGAAATATCTTTTCTTGAACCGATCACCTGAGGACCAGATCCATGTCTACTCGATCCAGTTCAGAATCCTCCTCCGATCTATTCGTCGCCGCTCGCCGCTCCTGACCTTCTTCGTCCTCGACCTGCCCGGCGAGAGGAATAAATTCATCGTCCTCGTCCTCCACCCAACCAACCCCAGCCCCCCACGCCGTCACCGAAGAAGAAGAAGGCCGGATCTACGCCGGCTGAATCGGCGGCGACCGCGGCGGGCGATCCCATCTCTTCGCGCATACCATCCTTAAGGTATGAATTCGGCTTGGCGTTCTGCTCGTTCTCTTGGCCGTTGCGCCCCTCCACCGTGCATGCAGTACAACCTCAACCCCACAAGATCCGGGTACAGACTAGAACAACGAATGGAAAGCTTCATCGTGGCATAGTTTCTCTTGAGCTAATCGCATCATGTGTGTTTAAGTAAGATGTTGAGGGCATTGCTTACTTCCTTTGGTACCGCAGAAAAAAGTGACTTACTTGACGTTTGAGATGAGATATACTAAAGGAAGATGAGATACTGGTTCCATAGTTCACTTAATTTAGTTTATTAAAGTCATCATCACTTTAGGTTTGCATAGTGCATGAAATATAGTTTAAAGGAAGATGAGATACTACTTGTTGGACGTTGATGATTGGTTTCCCTCACATGTCAAACAAGCAAAGTCTTTTCCATGCTCTTGTCTTTGCCTATGAGCTATTTTACACCTGCAACATTGATAAACAGAAAGATGTTGATGATTGGTTTCCCTCACATGTCATATGCAGGAAGACAAACAAGCAAAGTCTTTTCCATGCTCTTGTCTTTGCCTATGAGCTATTTTACACCTGCAACATTGATAAACAGAAAGATGTTGATGATTGGTTTCCCTCACATGTCATATGCAGGAAGACATGGCGTATGCAAGTGATGAGAGTATGTTCGAGTATGTAAATGTTGTCAGCAAGATGTTTGATAGTGAGGCTGAAGGCTATGAATTCTACAAAAAATATGCTCTTGAAAAAGGTTTTAGTGTGAGGAAAAGCTACGTTGAGTGGGATGGATCCAACAAATACATAACTTTAAGGAAAATTGTGTGTAGTCGTCAAGGGTTTCGCGAAGAGAAGAACATGAAAAGAAAGATGGAAGATAGAAAGAGGAGGCCACGAAGTTTAACTCGTGTTGGGTGTAATGCTAAATTGGTCATTACGAGACAGGAGGAAACCGGTCGGTGGTTTGTCAAGGATTTCATCGATGAGCACAACCATCCTCTAGCCCCACGGGATCTTTCTTGTCTGCTGCGTTCGCACAGACGAATTAGCGATGAGCAGAAGCAGACATTGCGGACATGGAAAAATGTGGGATCCGCAAATACCATATTATGGATATTTTGTGCTTTCAATACGGTGGATTTGATAAGGTCGGATGCATAAAGAGGGACGTTTATAATTTCTGCCATGCTAATAAGCAGGAGACAATCAGTGCCGGTGATGCTAATACGGTGATCATGCACATGATGGCGAGGCGAGAGCGAGATGTGGATTTTTTCTTCAAGTACTTGGTAGACGAGCATGGCCATCTGAAGGGACTGTTCTGGCTGATAGTCAGTCGCGACTTGACTACGAGGCTTTCGGAGACGTCATTGTTTTCGATAGCACATACAGAACCAACAAATACAATCTGCCATTCGTGCCGTTGTCGGGTTGAATCACCACCGCAGCACTGTTATTTTTGGCTGTGGTATAATTTCTCACGAAACAAGCCAGGCATACGAGTGGATGTTGCGGACCTTTTCTAATTGCATGGCACAGAAGCATCCGATATCTGTGATCA